CCCCCACTTGACCACTGCCCCTTCTCCTGCCTACATGGCCTAAGAATTGGTCTGAACAGGAGAGGCCAGGAGCTAGGGCCCATAACCTGTCAGCAGGCTCTCTGGGACTGGCCCATCAGGGCCCCTGGCACCTGTTAAAAGTCAGGGCATTGCATGCACAGGTGCTCACACCCAGAACCTTGGGAGTGGCCTTGGCACCTTCATTCACAGTTAAGTACTACTGTGAGAGGCCTTATCCTGTTTCTCCGGAGCTCACCATAAATCCCTCCCTGGGTTTGCAGCCAGTCTTCCTGACGCTCTCTCTGCCCACCTCTAAACTGGCAAAGCTTTAAGAGCCTTTGCTTGCAAACCTCGACTTTCCTGTCCACACTGTTCCCAAAGGGAATGTTCTTCCTTTCTCTTGCTTCCTACTTGATTCAGGAGACAGCTGAGCAAAGCAGATATTTTCTGAACCAATAAAGATGGTTTCATGCTTTATGCCTGAGACGTCCCCTTAGATGGAAAAACATTTCAAAAAGACTTAAGGCCATTTGTGTCTCTCCCTCTGGGCCAAAAACCTGAAGTAATTCCAAGAGTAAAGCTCCTCAGCAAGAATGTAAGGGAATAAGGGAGCCCTAGAAGCCAGGGCTGGCTGCCCCTCCCCAGCATAGTGCCAAGCAAACGAGCCAGGCACCACCAGCTACTCCCCTGACATGGAACTAGCAGCAGTTCAAGCAGACCCTCCATCACCAAGGAGACTGAGCAACATTCAGGAGCCAATGTGTGATTCTCCTGAGGTTGTCAACGTCCAGATGACAAAGTGATAGACGCTGTAGCGGCCTCACGCTGGGAAACACTGAATACTGGACTCTAGCCAGACAGTACAATTTTGGTGAAGTCTAGAAATGCTTATTGTCCTTGAGAATTGCTCGGTATTGAGAAAAGATACTGGCTCCACACACTGCCAGCTCTTCCCACAAACACAGATGGCATCTACAGGAAAAGGCAGGGTAGGGGGACAGCCCACAGGGGGATGCTACATGGGGGAAAAGTTCTGGAGTTGGTCCAAAGTCTGAATGGTGCCAGCTGAACTGCACAGGGGCTGCATGACCCCGGGAGTCCCTTAACCTCTCTGAACTTCAGATTTCTCACCTGGATATAAGACTACTACCTCATCCTCCTGAGTGGTCCGAAGAGTGAGGTGATTTGTATATGGAGCGCAGAGTGATGTCGGGCACCCAAAGGGTGCCCTTTCCTAATGGATTCATTAGAGGGACCCAATGGTGAGAAGCCGCTAGGAGAAGTGCCAGGGGGAATAAAAGGCTGCAAACACCAAGAGCACAACCATCCCATTGGTCCCATTTGTCATTTACCCATGATGAAGACGCTGGCAAAGGAGGAAAGGCAATTAGGGAAATAAATCTGGCCAGAGAAAAAGCCCTCCGAAGAGTGGATTTTTCCAAATTGTTCCCAATGGCTAACTTGGCAGCTGCAGTCATTTTTCCAGCATGATCTCTAGACCTTTCCCGTCCTATGGGCCATGCTTCCGATACTCTGGCGTTAATATCTGGTCCCGGTTTTCTTCAAAGAGTTCTAACATTTTCTCCATGTGGTGGTCAGCCTCAATCACCTAGAAATTAAACACACAGGTTACAGGGCTGCACAGAACTTGGCATGACAGATGAAGTGACAGAGGACAAAACAGGGCAGGCACAAAAGGTTGCAGGTAGATCAAAAGGAAGCTTAAAGCCAAATGGCTCCCAGTTCTAGGGCAATCTACATTCCCATTGAGATTTTCACTGAAGAACCCACTGCAGTCATCTGTTATAAACTTATGCATAATTTTTTTTGCATCAATTTATATTCTCTAATTTTTTTATAACAAAGGAGGAAAAATAAACTTCATTAAAAATCCACTGTAGCCCAGGCAAAGTGGCTCACACCTATAGTTCTAGCACTTTGGGAGTCCTAGTGCCTCCCTAAAGAACTCTGGGAACAGAAAACAAGAAGATGGGGAAGTGAAGAGATACTAACAGGGACAGACCCATCAATATCAGAAATGAAAGAAATAGGGTCACTATAAAAAGCAAACACAGGAACTCAAAGACATTTCATCTGGGCAAATAGTCCCACACAACTCAGCCCCTCCTGAGGTGTCACTGTGTGACAGGCCAGACCAGCAAAGATGCTTCTCTGATGACCTAAGTCACCAAGAAAAGGTGAAAGGAGGGTCTGTGTCTTCCTCTGGAGCAGGAAGGTCACATCAGATGCACCACCATCCCAAGTGATTAAAACCAAAAGCTAGGTCTGTAGGCTTTGGACATCTACAGCACTCTTTTGCTAAGGATGCCAGACAAGTGATGTTACTGCCACTACCAGGTGTGATGGCACCGGGACAGATCTCCTTCTCTGGGGTCTGTCCAACTCTCTGTGAGACTCAATCCAGAAACAGGGACTGACAGAGGAAACCTGCTACCAGCCTTCCCACCTCCCTCCTTCTAAATGCTCAAACTCTGAAGGACCAGGCCCTCCTCTGTGTGCGGGCTGGCTGACATTCCCTGGGTCACTCCTAGAAAAGTCTCCCACCCTGTGAGGGAGACTGACTTACCAGAACAGGGGCTGGCACAGGGAACAGGTTTCCTTTTATCAGCCACTCCTCGTAGAGGTGGTGAATAGCACCCAGGTACTCCTGCCAGGGAGACAAGCTGTTGGGAGCAGGAGGAGAGCAGACCCCTCCCACTAAGGGTCTTAGGCAAGTGGAGAAAAGTTGTCAATGACCATGGGATAGTGACTTGGACAAAGGAACCCTGCAATAGCCAACCTAGCTCAGGTGGGCTATCGTAGACCAGCTGCACCCTATGCTGGCCACCCAGACAATCTAACGGTCACCATCACTAGCCACCTTACTCCCCTCTACTGGGCATTACTGAGTCAAAGTCAAGTCAAAGGCAGGACCCATTCCTAGCTTCTCCCATTTCCTGCTACTTCTCCAACAGCAGGGCCCCAGTTCTTCCATGGTGACCCCATGGCCAGGTGTCCCAACCCAGGGCAGCCTCTAACCAGGGGTGTCCAACCTGGGGCCACATGCAGTTTTGGGGTTTTTTGCTCATCAGTTTTTATTAGTGTTTGTGTATCTAATGTGTGACCCAAGACAACTCTTCTTCTAATGCAGTGAAGAAAAGCCAAAAGGTTGGACACCCTGGAAACCCTCCCCTGTCTTGCTACCAAGAGGATTGTAACGCTCACCCCTTGCCACTTCTGTGGCTCCTCAAAACCATGAATATCATCAGCTGCATGCAGCCTGTGAGGCAGAGACCAGGAGACAGGGCATGGCCTCTCTCCCAAGCCCCAGTGCCCACACCCTGAGCAGCAGTAGAAGCTCACGCTCCCTCCCACGTGGCCCCCAAACACCTCTTGGTGTAGCATCCTACTCGCCCTCCCCAGGGGCTCCCACATGGCTGCCTTTTCAGCCACCACCAAGCTCTCATTCGGCAACAGGAGCCAGGTTTGTCCCATGTTGTCAAAACTGATAAGACAACGGCTTGAATAATGGCTGGACTCCAGACTTGATATTTCTTGGGAACATCTGCATCACTGCACAGAGTTCATGTGCCCCCTCACAGCATGGTCCAGCCTGGCCCCTGCTCCATTGTACTCCATCTTCCAATTACTCCTGTCTCCAGGATTTCAAAGGAGCTGCCTAGACCAAGGTCCAGGCCTCCATGGCTAGAATGTACCTTGCTGGCATTAGGGCAAAATAAGGCTGGGCAAGGCCTCAGAAGTCAGACAGGCCTTCCAGAGTCCCTAGTCCAGCCCATCCTGAGCTTAGAGGCCCAAGATGTCCCACTAAATGCTTGCCCAGCCTCTGTGTACCTCCAACAGCAACTTCTCACATGGGGCATTCAATTCAATGTCAATGGAGCAATTACTAGGTACCAGGCCCTGGGACACAAACTGAGGACACAGAGAGAATAAGATTGGATTTTAAAAAGCTCACACTAGTGAGGGATAAAAAAACAAAGGCATAAACAAATAGTGTCAACAATGGAGGGAAGGTCAGGGAAGGCTTCCAGGAGGAGGTGGCATCTAAGCTAATTTTTTTTTAAGCTAATTTTTAAAGGCAAAGAAAACCACTGTGCAGAGAAGCATTTGTGCATGGTGTGTGTGGGTATGTGTGCAGCTATTAGTTCCTCATGGTCAGAACACTGAAGGCAGGGAATAGGAGGAGAATGCCAGGGAGACAGTTGGGGTTGGGTCACATGGGACCTCATATGTCAGGCTACAAAACAGAATCTTCATCCTAGACAGCAGTGAGGCTGGGCTGGGAAACTACACGAGTGGGGCCCGGCATTGGAAATATCAGCAATCCTGAAGGTTGGATTTTGGAGTGAGACATGGGGAGTGAAGGACCAGGGCAAGGAGAATAGTCTAGGCCTGTTGCAACAGTCCCCATTAGAATCTCTGTGGCCTGAGCCTGAGCCAGACCCAGAAGGACAGGTCTCCCTCCTGGCAAACAGTACTGTGCTCAGCACTGGGGGTTCTCCTACCCTACTAAGAATCCAGAGCATAGATATAGCCAAGCCATCTTCAGCAGGTGGGACAGACAAGCCTGGTGTACAGACAGGGAGAGGCAGCAAGGAAGGGAGGGGAAAGGGATAGGAGAGGATATTTCTGAACATCGGGGTGCTGAATCCAGAGTCGGGGGCCATAGGAAGGGAGGCAGATCTGGACACCCACATCACGTCTCTACCGTAAAGGAAGTCAGAGTTCACCCTGCCACAAGCCCAGTTCCTGCTTGTCTCTCTGCAGACTGGGGCACAATGATCTCAGAGTACTTGGGGCAGGGACAGGAAGGCAGGTTGTGACAGAGGGGTTTCTGGGTTTATCTTTAAGCAAGTCAAAGAGGCCTCTCACCAGTGGAATGACCTTCTCTTCCTCCCTGCATCTTCTCTTCAACCTCTGGTAACAAGTCTCAGGGGTGGTCTGGAGATAAACTGAGGTTAAAAAAGCACGTGATTCTTATTGTTCTATTCAAGGCTTGGAAGCCAAGGCCAAATAGCAAAGAGGGCAAGCATGTGGGCATGGGATGGGCTACCATCTGCCACAGCATGGTGAGCAGGAGAGACAGTTAAGCCAGCTTTCAGCTTGACCACTGGCCCCCTGTGTGGCCAAATGGGCAACCTGACCCTCATCCTTCATGTCATCAGCCCCACGGGGTCATCATGGGCCTAAATGATGTATGGAGAGCTCAGGGGCTCATTGAATGTCCAGGCTCTGTCCCTCCCCCTCCCTTACAAACTAGAAAAATCATCAAATCAGAACAGATTTGGGTTGGAAAACAGCTGACCCAGGGAAGGCAGCTTAAGGAATGACAGCCAGGGTTTTTCTCCATGAAGAATCAGAAGCCCCAAATTCTGTCTGCCCTTGGGGAGAAGGCTGAGTTGAGGTGGAGAAGGAATCCCTGATGGCAAGAGCTCTACCGGCTGCCCCTGAGAGTTGGAGACCCAGCCAGGCATAGCCTGTTTGGACTGAGGCAAGAGCCCAGGGAGGGAAGGTCTCACCTATCAAGTGAATGGACAGGTCGATGTTTTGCACAATCCAGTCAAACCATTCCGACAGAATGACGTAGTCCACTTCGGGCATCTTCCCGCTGCAACGAGAATAGTAAGGATTTTACTCACACAAGAGAAAGTTCCTGGGCTGTGCCATTCTCCTAAAAGGATCTGGAGATGGCTTTCATCGAAAGGAGTCACCAAGAGCACACAGGATAATGTAATCCATGCAATATCAGACACATAATGATGACAAGGACCTTGAGCATTCCAGGCCTCCCCGCTAGGGGATGGTTCCTGGTATGATGCAAGAGGAGCCACAGCACTGAACAATGGGAGAATTCATTTGGAATCTAAATTCCTGGCAGAGAAAGGGACTTCAAAGCTTGTTCCCTGCAAACAGACCCAGCATTCAGGTTGGGAAATGGATAAGCAAACCAAATTCACTTCTAGAAATTTATTTTGTGAAAATAATCATGGATGTTCACTGGAGCACTGTTTAAAAATAATGAAAAAAGAAAAACCAAATCTTGTTATACCTATCCAACAGAAAAGCATGCAGCAACTGAAAGACACTGTAAAAGACATGGAAAGATATGTAATGACATGGAAATGCTCATAACCTAACGTTACATGAAGACAGCAGGATATAAAACTTTGTATAACACTGTATCACCTTAACCATTTTTTTTTTTTTTTAGAGACAGTCTCACTTTATCGCCCTCCGTAGAGTGCCATGGAGTCACAGCTCACAGTAATCTCCAGTTCTTGGACTTAGGCAATTCTCTTGCCTCAGCCTCCCGAGTAGCTGGGACCACAGGCGCCCGCTACAACATCTGGCTATTTTTGTTGTTGTTGCAGTTTGGCCAGGGCTAGGTTTGAACCCACCACCCTCAGTATATGGGGCCGGTGCCCTACTCACTGAGCTACAGGCGTCGCCCTCAACCATATTTTCCAAAGTATTCATCTACATGTCTTGAAAAGGCTGGAAAGAAAACACAAAAATGTGAACAGTGTTTTGCTATGGGCTGCAGGACTATGGGGGGGCTTTTATTTTTTTCTTGATACTTTTTTGTATTTTCCAAATTTTAACAACATATTTGTTGTCAAATCAGGAGTGAGGGGTGGGGAGCATTACTACCTATTTTAAATGTTAACTTTAAAAAAAAAAAAAACAAAAGGAAGAAAAAGCCCCAGAGTAAAGGAGAAACCTGGTGTCTATTCCTGGCTTTCCTATGGGTTTACTTTGAGGTTTACTTCCTCACTTTCCTGTGAGGAAGGGAACAGGGAACAGACAGAGGATGGCCACCAAATAGAAAGGGACATTCTCCCTTCATCCCCATGCCCACCATGACGCCCTCAGCAAAGCCTGGGAGAAAGCAGGAGAGAGCAGGGTGCCCGAGAGCACAGCAGGGGTGAGAAGGGCATTTGCAGGGACAGTTATTTTTTCCTTTAATCTCCTTCTTAAAGTACCCATTCAGAGTCCATCCCGGGGGCCTAAGTGCTTCAGGGAAACCTGAGCCCACCCCAAGCTTGATGGGTTCAGAAGGGTTCAGAAGCCACACTGAGCCACTTGCACAGGGCTCTCCCCACCAGGGGCCTAGTCTGGACCAGGGAGGCCTGAGGGAGGTTCACAGGCATGTATGGAGAAGCTGCTTCCTCACACCCGGGAAAGAGCCTACGGGCAAGATACCCACACTCACTCTGCCCAGCAAGTACAGGAATCATACTGAGGATGTAGAAAGACCCAGAGTAGGAAAACAGAGAAGCAAGGCCACAGCCACCAGCTTAAACCAATCCAATCTGCGAGAGAACCAATGACCACCTCACTTCTGGAAACAAGCCTGGTCTCCAAGATTCTGAGAGACGTTGGGCACAGCGGGTACTGTTGTGACCACATTTGTTTTCCTCCTAGAAACTCTACCTGGCTCCTCCCACATCTGCCTCAGCCACAGGGCTCCCCACACCCCCAACAGCCCCTGCCTCTCTATAGCAAATCCAACTGTGTGAGTCACCAGCCGTGGACAAAGGGGGCTTCACAGTACCCTCCCTGACACCAGAGGTGGCCAGACCTAGGTCTTGCGTCCACATGAGTCCTGCTGACTGCTCTGTTTGGCAAAATTTGCTACAACATGCCCCCTGAGGGCCAGAGAGACCCTAGTTTGCACAGGATGGATTAGAACAGGAGTCTCACACTCAGATACCAGCTGCCTTGCATATATTATTTCCCTTTGTTTTCATAAGATCTTCTAGGGTCAGTTTTAGTCCCACTTTATAGATGAGGAAAACTGAGGCTGGGAGAAGTTAAGCTCAAGTCTGTCTGGATAGGGGCTCCCACCGGGCTCTCTATGGCCCTCAAATCCACATGATCTCTATTGCAGCATCGGTCTGCCCTATCAACCACAGGGCTATCCTAGATCAACTCCAGGTCTCTCTGGCCTGAGCTTGAGGAATGCCCCAGGCTTCAGGCTCATGACGCAGGCTGTGAGTCCTCGGTCTAGACCAGGGCCAGTCAGGGAAGGAGAGGATAAGCTTATTGTTCTAAACACTAGGTCATAATCAATGCCCCTGACCACCAGCTGCAGGTGAGTCAGAGGCCACCACCCCAGCTGAGCCCCACTCAATTCCTTTACTGTTATTCTTAGAAAGAGCAACCCGGCAATCTTGTACAACCTGTGCATTCAATTAGTCAGCCCACAGGACCTGGACCACACAATTGCTTATGTGGCCTCTTTAGCTACGTAATTCTTACTCACCGCCTTCAGCTTTTCATGCCAGCCAGGTGCCCATCCCACAGAAGTTCCTGTCTTTAAGGACATTGTGTAACCAGAATCTTCCTCTTCAGCAATTAACACAACCCTCTCAAAGTCTCAGTGGCATAACTGCACTTACATTCTGCCCACCCCAACCTCACAGTGGCCTGGGAGGGCCAGAGGAAGTGGGCTTCTCCCCACTGAGCTCTTCACTTGTTCAAGGCCCAAGGTCACTCTTCAGGGAGATGGAGAATTCAAGAATGTGGGCTTTCCTGTGAACCTGAGCCTGCAACTGTAGACAGCAAGGTTGTGACTGCCACATTGCCTTCAGTCCAGGTTGCCCCAGATCCCAGACCACAGCTACAAGGGCTTCTAAGAAAAAGACCCGCCCCAGTCCTGAAAGGGCTGCAGCAAGATGCCCTCCACCTTGTAAAAGGGTTCCCCATCATGGCGTGTTAGGAAGCTTTTTCCTTGAGCATCCCAGGATGTGAGGATAAACAAGCCCCCAGGCTGGGAGGTGACGCCCCCACACACCATCATGTGGCTCCTAGTACCTGGCTGAACTCCCTGCCGGTGGGAACCAAAACCCCCAACAACCCAAATCTGAAACAACAAATATAAAATGAAGAAGCCTCAGGCCAGGTGCCGGAAACAGGAAATCCTGCGCTGTGCAGAACCTTCCTGTGGCCCTGAAGACTGTGCTCTTATCTTCACATCTTCCAAAGGTCCAGGGAGGCTCCAAGGAAGCCACCAGGTAGAACCTCAGGGAAGAAGGGCCAAGGTGTAGGACAGATGGCTCCCTGTGGGCCACCTGGCTGCTGGCTTCTCTATGCCTTATTCCTCCCTATGAATCTCTGACCATCAGGAGCGTGGCCTCACCGGGGCCTTACTAGACATGCAGACAGTGGAGCCCCACCCTAGCCTTACTGAAACAGAGTCTGCATGTTGGCAAGATGCACAGGTGGCTGTAGGAGATGCCTGCGGTGCGGCCTGGTGCAAGGGGCAATTTCCCCCTGGGGCCAGCACCTCAGGATTCTTAGCTTTCAGGGTGTCCAAAAAGCCCCCAAGCATGTGGCCTTCCTGAGTGAAATCTAAGATGTCTCTTGCCACTTCCTCATTCATTGCTTACCCACAGAGCCGGGTGCAACTAACCCCTCCCACGGTTCGTTTCCTCCCCAGCTGGGAAGGAACCCTGGCTTTATAATCCCTCCTCAGGTCCCCATCTGCCAAATAGGGTCAGACAATAAACACAGCTTCTGTCCAGTGGTCCCTGCCCAGTCCCTCAACCACATGAGAAAATGGCCTAATTTCTAGGGTACACATAAGCTGGTCCAGTTCACAAGTGAAACACCTGCCTTGGGAAGGTGCTTCTCAACATCCCTGTCACGTGGTTCTCTGCCCCCGCCCCCGAACCTGGGGGCTCTGAGGGAGGGATACTCCAAGGCAATACTAAGTACAGTGTTTACTACAGGGCCATCCATTTCATTTTCCCTAAAGCTATCATGTAAACCATTTTTAGATAGACACAGAAGAGCATATTATGGAGTAGAATGTAAAATCCAATGAATTCTAAGATAAAAGAAGAGACTTCAAGAAATGTCTGGGTTATTGGCAGGTGGAAGCTTTTGGCACAGGGGCTGGGAGGCCAAGCTGAGGGAGGCAGTGCCTGTGAGGGCTTTCCTCCGCCTTCAGGGAGCTCCAGTGAAAGGGTTTGAGGAGCAGTGCCCTCTCCCATCTCCCTGGAGACTGTGGGGGATCGCTTGTCCCCAAGCATGCCACAGTGCCCCCAGCAGCCTCTGGAGTACCCAAGGCCACACGCCAGATGACAGGCTTGGGCTTCATTGAGTGATACCTGTGATGGGTCTTAAAGTTCCAACAAGGTCTTCCAGAGAGACTATGCCAGGGGTCCTCAAACTTTTTAAACAGGGGGCCAGTTCACGGTCCCTCACTGTTAGAGGGCCAGACTGTGGGCCCAGGACGAGTCGGCTGCTAAGCAGAACAGGCAGTGGCGGCAAAAACACCCGGCAGGCCAGATAAATGTCCTAGGCTGGCTGCATGTGGCCCGCAGGCCATAGTTTGAGGACGCCTGGTTTATGCCGCCTTGGAGCTGTATGAACTTGAACAACTAGATCCCAGGAACAGAAACAAGGACACCGCAAATTTCCTCTGTGGTTCCTTGTCCCATAGAAGTCCTAACCACAGATGTCACATATTCTGGGAGAGCCATGGGGAGACACCAGGACAGGAAAAGAGCTTAAAAAATTAAAACAATATTCTCTTCCTATACTACCCACAAAATGGCCCAGGGCAAGACCCATGTTATCTGGACTGATGCCACAGAGCCACAGAGCTTGGGTAGTGTAGTAACACAAGACTATGAGTGTGAGCTACCAAAGTCCATGGACATCAGGAGGAGCTGGGACCTGGGACAAGCACAGACAAATGGCTCCTGAAATCTACCTGGTGCTGGGCAGCCAACAGGTGGTGGGAGTATGGGGTGTAAATGACACATTTAATGAAGACCAAGTGGCAAGACCAAGTGACCCTGCTAAAGGGTCATAAGACCTAAACAAGGCAGCTAGTCCATGAATTTGGTCATGCTCACAAAGAGCAAATTCCAGAGCCAAGATGGAAGCCAGGTCTACCCAACTCCACACCTCACCCTCTCCTCTTGACCTCAGTCATTCCACTCAGGTCTCCCCACTCAAAAAGAGCCACTGACCACCATACAGAACAGGCCAAGCTGACTGCGATTAGAAGACAGATATGCCAGGGGTGGTGATGCACCTCTAGTCCCTGCTACTCAGTAGGCTGAGGCACCATTGAGCCCATGAGTTGGAGGCTGTAGTGCACCATAATTATATTTATGAATAACCACTGCGTGGGCAACATAGTGAGACTCTCTAAAGAAGATATTTAATATTAAAAAAAAAAAAGACAGACATAGCCCCACTACTCAAGATTCATAGGAAATCCCACCTCTCTGCCCAAGGTCCACTACAGTTTCATCAGAGCAGTAAACAATTATCACATAAAGTTACTTCCGGTAGAGTTAAAAAGAAAAAAGAAAAAAACCGCATAAACCTGACAGCAGCTCCCCTTTTCTTTTCTCTCCTCTCTTTTGCCTGCCCTCCCTCTGGCTGAGGTGCTAAGAACAGGGAGCACAGGAGAGCAAAGGGTTGGATAAACCTCACATGGACACCTTGGACACCTGTGTCCTGCTGAAACCCAGGCAGTTGGGTGAAACTGAGGCTCTAACACTGGGAAGGTTGCCTGCTGGATGGGCAAGCTAGACCCTGCAGGAACAGCCCAAGGTAAGAGGACAAAGCTATGACCTGAGCTTGCTATGGCTGCCTTCCCCAACTCCACAACACTGCTCTGATACTCAGAGTGGATCTGGGGCAGAGGCATTGACTCTGGGGGTAACACAGGCTCAAGGGAAGGATCCATGGCAGCTGAGGGCCCATAGCCCATAGGAGAAAACTTTTTCAGGGGTCCAATCAAAGGAAAGGGTATAAAACAGTAAAGTCACAGCCTGGGGAAAAAGCTGGACTGGAGACCAAAGAATGGCTATAGGTTCTATCATTCATCAACAGTTAAGTGTCAACCAGGCGTCCACTCTGTGCTAGTGCTGGGTCTAAGCTAGATGAGGAAACCAGACTCAAAGCCTACTCTTAGGAGCTTATGGTCGAGTTAGGGTGGTGGGAAATGGTGTGTGTGTGTGTGTGTGTGCAATAAACAATTAGACATATACTAAGTTGAATCACATGGAACTGCCAATTTTGTAGGTCAAAATTGGTCAAATATTAACAATTTCATATGATTGTCTTGAATACTGCAAAGAAAATCAACAGAAAGTAGTCATTAAGAATAACAAGGGGAAAAAAAAAATAACAAGGAACTCAATCATCTAGTTTGCTGGTCCCAGGAGGAGGGTGACAAGCAAGAGGAAGAGACAGTGGCTCGGTGCCTGTAGCACAGTGGCTACAGCGCCAGCCACATACACCGAGGCTGGCAGGTTCAGACCTGGCCCAGGCCAGCTAAACAACAATGACAACTGCAACAAAAAATAGCCAGGAGTTGTGGCAGGTACCTGTAGTCCCAGCTATTTCAGAGGCTGAGGCAAGAGAATTGCTTAAGCCAAAGAGTTTGAGGTTGCTGTGAGCTGTGATGCACTTTACCGAGGGTAACATAGTGAGACTCTGTCTCAAAAAGAAGAAGAACAGAGAGGAGCCACCCCACCACGCTTGCTGAGCCCTTCCTGGACTGGCCAGTAGCTATCTGCCAGTCTATTTGTAGTTGCTTGTTACCCAATGGTACCACAACAATGGATAATGGATACAATACAGGAGGTACTCCATATCTGTCAATCGAATAAAGTTCCAGTTTCATTTTGAAAAATTAATGGTTGAATAAATTATCAATTGTCCAAACAACAGTACCTTCTATACAGGTTTTCTACAAAAATGTATCTTGCACTGTGAATCGACCTCTCCATCAACCGTACAGGTGACGTCTAAAGGAAAACAAAAAGTGATTTGCTGACTCAGGAGAAGAGGAGGGGGTCAGGAAGCCTTGAAAAACACCTATTACTAACCCTGCTCAGGGTCTTCGCTGGATATAAGAGTGGGGAGGATGAGGCCAGCGCCTGAGGAGAAGCCATGTCTGACCTCAGGCTAAGCTGTATTCCTCTCTCTGCCTTGAGCCACCCACACCCTGCCAGGGCTGAGGGCCCATCAGCAGTGGCCTCCTCCTTGGGAGAGGAAAGGACCACATGGGCGAGTGCTGGGCAAACTGCCAAGGGCTGTCCACTTGAGGCAAAGTGTGGTGATCATTATTATCATTCACCTAAAGAGGGTGGATTTGCTCAAGTGGGGAAATCATATGCCTGAAGTAGAGCCCTGAGAAAGCTGGGGTGGAGGCGACATTCTGGGGGCTCTACCATGGCAACTGAAGGGAGAAGGACTTGACACTGTCCCTTTCTCTCTGATAAGATGCTCACACCCTCCACAATGACCTTCTGTCCAGTTCCTCTGGATAGCAGGAGGAGCTCTGACCCTGGACACTTGGCTGTGCCCCCAACCCCGTACCCATGGGACTTAGGCCAACAAATCAGAGGCAGACTCAAAGCCTTAACCAAGGCTCGTCTTCTCTTACCTTACCTGTCTGCCTTCCCATCCATCTTCCCTTCTGTTCTCCATCCTCCCTTTCCTAGCAACTCCACTGCCCATCTCCTCCTAGCTCCCCACTCATCCATCTCTCTCCTTCTGCTCGTCTTTCCTAACTTTTCCATCCCTCTTTCCATCTCTGCTTCCTTGTTGGTAGATTTCCTCAATAGAAGAGTATACTTATGTCCCCTTATATTCAGATAATAATTAGACAGGATTTAGGTTTGCAATTGAGTGCCTGCTCAGGAAAAGTGGGATTAGCAAAGAAAAAATGTGCTCGCTTCAAATCCTCCTATCTGTGTCACTTAGACATATATTTGGGGAGAGAGAAATTCATATTCCTCCAAAAGGGTCTGCTCACATCTTTCAATTTTAAAAAACAGAGATTTTAGAAAAAAGCTATTAATTATAGGTGCCCAGACCTGGATCTATCCTCCCAGCCCACTGGCTAGGCTATCAACTGGCTGTAGGGATACCCTGTCTCCTTTGAGCAGAGCTTCTAAAGCTGGTATTTTAGGTTGTGCTTACAGCTTTGAACCAAAGGTGCCAATCAGATCTCCTCAGACCCCCTTTCTCCTAAAAGACTCTGTCCCTGATGACATCTCCACTGATGGAATAGGCCTCTGCAGCCATGTGCGTGCCCTGGGATCCTATCCTTAGCACGTGATTGGACCAGCGCTGGAGACCTAACCCAAGCTAAGCCAATCAGATACTTTGTCCCCAGCATCTGTACTAAGAACCAGATCCTGTGAAAATGTTCATCTCTTTCTTTTATATTTTTTTTTTTTCAGTTTTTGGCCAGGACTGGGTTTGAACCCACCACCTCCAGCATATGGGGCCAGCACCCTACTCCTTTGAGCCACAGGCGCTGCCCAAAACGTTCATTTCTAACAAGTACTAGGTGCTGCTATAGCTGCTGGTCCAGAGACCACAGTTTGAAAAGAACTGAGTTAAATACAACAGTGGTAAGGTCATAAAGATGTGGGCTTAGAATAGCAATGAAGAGACCCCCCCTGGCTGAGGCTGGCACTCAGAGAGCTGCTGGAGCAGGAGACCTTGACCCCAGACAGAGAAGCCCACACATCATTAAAGACCTAGCCCAGCTTCCTTGTGAGGTTTCCCTTCCTGGCAATCACATGCTCAAGAAAATTTTGTTTAAGGTGTCAACGGAGCATCTAAAACACACCTGAGGACGAGTGTGTTGGTCTAGCATGGTGAGCTGCACATACGTCTGCAGTGTGAGGCCCCATCGACAGGCATCGCGGTACATCAGACCCTGCAGAAGGGAGAACACAGCATGTTACATCACAGTGGCACCTGCAGGAAAGCCCTCACATGAAACCTACGCAGGCCCTCAGGACAATGTGGACAAAGACAGACACCAGCATGATTTTAGGACAGCCCAGTAACAGAGATAGCAGGAGCCTATACAGAGTCCCAGGGGAATATAGATTCAGTCATTCAGTAAATGTTCTTTGAGCCCCTGTAGTCTGTTCTCTAGCCAGCAGCCTCAGTAACCCTGGGAAATATAAACTGTTCTTTTTTTCTGAGACAGAGTCTCATTCGGTCACCCTGAGTAGAGTGTCTTGGTGTCATAGCTCAAACTTTTGGGCTCAAACAATCCTCCTACCTCAGCCTCCCTAGTAGCTGGGATTACAGGCACAATGCCCAGCTATTTTTAGTAGAGATGGGGGTCTCACTCTTGCTCAGGCTGGTCCTGAACTTCTAAGCTCAGCGATCCACCGGCCTATGCCTCCCAGAAAGCTAGGATTGCAGGCGTGAGTCACTGTGCCTAGCCTCTAAATCTGTTCTTGTCACACCCCTGCTCCAAACCTTCCAGTGGCTTCCCATTGCCTTCAGAATGAAATCTAAACACCATGGCCCATGGGGCCCTAAAGAATCCCTTCCATCCTCTCTCATCACCTACCTTTCTCTTGCTGGCCCAGTCTGCTTCCAAACACACAAGTTTCCTTAGTGTTCCCCAAACATGCCAGGCATGGTCCAACCTCAGGCCCTTTGCATCTGCTGTTCCTTCTGCCTGAATACTCTTCCTCCAGGCATCTTCAGTGCTCACTCCATGTTAAACCTTTGCTCCCATGGCACCTTATCACAGACACACTTCCTACTCATGCCGTCTAAAGCCCAATACCCGCCAATCACTCTCCAGCACCACAAATACAAACACTTCCTGTTCCATTATCCACTCACTAATAATCTTATTCTGCTCTTATCCATATTTTTGCTTTCCATTTTCTCTTGGAGTAAGCTAATGCTCTTTCAGTGCTCTGCCTTGAAAATTGCAGACTCCTTCCCAACGGCAGGTGAAAGAAAATCTCTGCAGAATCCCTGAGGGCTATAGAAACAAATGCCTTTCTGCACGAGAAAACCAATTCAGATAGAGTGATACACTGAGACTTTTCACCAAAACATCAATCTTGCTCTTCTGTCCACAGTGAAAACTCATGTAAAAGTAACTAATTCTATTGTATTTTTTATGATAAATCTCTCATTGAAAAGGCTATTTGTACCAAGGATAGTCAGACTTCTGAGACTGTGATTCCGACCTGTGAAATGTCACCTATCATCCGTAACATCCAAATTTTAGTTGTCTTACTTGATGATCAAGCCCTGATTCCTCCCTGGCTTCTAGAGAACATGAATGTTTCTGAGGCTTCTTTGTTCCACAGACATGAACAACTGGCATTCCATCTTCTCCCACATGCATGGAGGAGAAATTCTTTTCATGTCTCCGTGGGATTCTTTATTCAAAGACTATGAGAGGTTTTGCCTTATTTAAGTAATGTCTTTTCCCATGCTTTAGCTTTGTTCATGACTTCTATCGTCACCTACCATATTATACATTTAATTGTCTTCTACCTCCACATGCTGGAATGTTAGGCCCAGGAGAACAGGGCATTTGAATTTGAATTGTCACAGCATCCGGAAGTGTCTGCCACATGGTAGGTAGGCAATAAGTAATTGGGTGGATGAATAAATGAATGAACAAGCACCTACTAAGTGCTAGTACCTATATTCTAGTAAACAATGAACAAAATAGACACACTGCTCCTAGCAGAACTCAGAGTCTAATGAACCACATGAAGGGATGCCAATTGTATTGCTTAAAATGAGAGGGCAGCTTCCAAGTCAAAGGTTCAAATCCAGGTCTGTCAATTACCAACTGTGTGAACTCCGGCAATTTATTTAAGTTGCAGTTTTCTCACCTGAAAAACGTGACTAATCATCCCTGTACCAGGGGATGGGAGCCCAGAGCCAATATCCCTTTCTCAAGCCCTCTCTCATTCTACCCATCTCTTGCAAGCAGCCAGAGCAGAACTTTCTGAAAGGGAAGGAATGGGGTCACACACTATACCCCCTGCTTTCCAGGTCCATCTCTGGGGAAGTAGACAGGTGGCTTCAGCATGAGCAAGACGCCAGATGCAGACCCTGTTACTAGACACTGTCAAGTGCAAGCCCAAATAGGGGTTCCCCAAGGAACCTGATTACTTAGCTCCTGAGGAGTCAGGCACGAAGACACCTGGATTCTGCTAGGTGTCTTCTGGAGGCAAGGATGAAATGAGCAGCAAGAGATGGACACCCCTGGTAGCTGAGGCTGGCCATGTTCAGGATAGCTAATGGGAGGTCCCTGGGCTCTGTGCACACCCATGTGGGCCTCAGGCGTCCTTGACCTCAGCACACCAACATGCCTATTCCTACTTGCCCTCCAACTCAGCCAAGTGTGTGGAATATTACATATGCTCAGGCTCAGGCATCAGTGCCAGGCATTTAGGGGAACTCTGGGGTTCATGCAAGAAACAACCCACTCACCAGAGGGTTATGGCCACGGACATTTCTCCACTTGAGCACAGGCTCCGTTAATACCTGTAAGGAAAGAAAACATCAGAGGGCTGCTGCTCCTCGGTTCTGAGCTTTGTGAAACTGTGTAAGTATAGAAAGAGGAGATTAGAGGAAAAGAGAGAGATAAAGGCATTATAAATATTTGGGTGCCCAAGGTGGGCCAATATAGCCCAGTAACCCCCTCTGTGAACCCATAGCTCTATCCAGACAAGGCTTCCTCGTGTAACTTCCAGAAATGACCTCAGAACAACTCCATCTGTCCTTGTATCCACAGACACACTCCACCTCTCTGGATGCCCTGGGAGCCTCCTAAGGGCAAGGCTTGTGCCCTCCAACCCTCCTCTGTGTTTTCTGTCCCAGCCCTTCCTGCCCATCATGTCAGGCTGGGTATGGGGCTGGGAGAAGCCAAAGGGAAGCTAGATAGGGCTGGACTTGAAGTCCAGCTTCCCCACCTGGGAGCTTGCCCGTGACCCTGGCAGGTTACTTGCCTCTGTTTTCTACCTCTGAATGCCACACTGGGTCCATAGGCCACTGAGTCCAAATTTCTTTAGTACGCTCCCCATCTCGCAGATTTGGAGGCATTCTTGCCCTCTGGCACTGCTTGTGCCTTTTAGATCAGGATGTCTGTTGGGCATCTCTACAGCCTCCATCTAGGGTGTAGACACTCAGACCTGGGACAACCCAACTCTGTGCTAGAATGTGCTAGAAAATATTTGAATGGTGTTTTGGAGGCCAAGATCATGAGCACGACTGGTTCCACCTGGGGGACCTTCAGAGTGTGTGTGAACAGATGCCATAGGTGACAGGACACCAAAGACAGGCAATGCAAGGGACTCTTGAAGAGTAATCACCCCACCCTTCACACCTCTGTGCCTTTGCTCACACTGTTCCTTCTTCCCTACATTCACATCCTACCCCACTTCACTTCAACTTTCATGATATGGAAAACCCCTGTACAACCTTTAAAATCCAGTTTAAATATCCTTTCTTCTGTGAATTATTCCTTGCCCCTCTCCTTCTCTGGGTCTTCCACACTATATTCCCAGCCCCTAAGTAGCATATGCTGCATCACTCCAGCCCACTAGGGGCTGGGTCATAGGCAGCCTCGCGTCTTGACCCAGCTCAGAGGTGCTCTGTCCTAACATTGTCACTGAACCATTGATTGAACAGATGCCCATGCTAAGCCCTGAGGGTACAACAAAAGCAAAACCACTCTAGCCCATGCCTTAGTAGAACTTTAAGCCTACTAGTGAAAGCAGACCTTAACCAGGTAATCAAAGAAGTCAATACATATTTTCAAACCCCAAGAAATGTGATAAAAGAGAGGTACAGAAGGACCAGAAGACTCTACATCAGGAAGGGTAACCTTGCTGGGGAGGCCAGAGAACACTGAGCTGAGATCTAAGACCACTGAGTGAGTGGTCTTCCTAAAGCCAGGAAAGCTCTTCCTACTACGAAGAATCAAATAAGGGCATGGCCACTGGAGCCAGACAGCCTAGGCTGAGACCTGGCTCCACCACATACGAGTTCTATGACCCTGGATGATCCACTTCACCTCGCTGAGGCTTGCTTCCTCATCTGTAATTGGGGTAATAACAGGACCCACCTCAGAGGGACTACTCTTATAAGGATCAGTTAGATACTATGATAAACCCTTAACATAGTACCTGGTAAACAATATCCTCATTGGATGTTAACTATTGTTGTTGCTATTATTGTTGGCACTGTAAGCTGGCTCCAAGGTCTTCAATGAGAATATAAGCATCATACCACTCAGGACAGGTGTTGGGAGCAGAGAGCCACTGTTATTATTTAGGAAAGATGGGAGCCCTCGTTAAGATCTAAATTTCCAGGTGCCAGCCAAGGGCCAAACTTGCAAGGGATCTTTCTAAGGACAGCAGTCTTAGGGCTGCTACAGTAACTCTTTCCCACACAGTGGGACATGAACACAAGGGCTGTATATAATGTTTATTATTTTTATCAACCACATACACTTTTAATAGAAGTGAAAACAGGAAAGGAAGGAAGGAAAGAAGGAAATAACTATATCGGTATGGAAATTGTAGGATCTGTAGTTACAGAAGAAAGCTATAAGATGAATAGATTATACCACTAAAATCTAGAGTAAGGAAGATGGTCAGGGTCTTAGTGTAGAGATGCTTCTTAAACTTTTGTGAGGTTACTATTAGTAACTGGGCTTTAAATGAGCTAGAAATTATATTAATTGGCTGTGCACAGTAATACTCCTATTCGGACACTGATATATCAGCATCATGCTGTAACATACAAGTCCTACTCAACAGCCTGGCTTTTCTTCTTTCACATGTGGACTCTTCCTAACCAGACCGTGAGGCAGTCTATCCCTATTTTTATCCAACATAGTGATCGTGAACTGCACACAGCCATTGAGACCTTGAAAGGTGACTAGTCCCAATTGAGATACACTAGAAGTATAAAATATATACAATTTGAGCGTCATCACTAATCCAAAACCCCCAAATCCTAAAAGCTCCAAAATCCAAAACTTTTTGAATGTCAACATGACACAAGTGGAAAATTCCACACATAAAAGTACTTAACACAAATTTTGTTTCATGCACAAAATTATTTTAAAATATTACATAAAATTACCTTTAGGCTATGCGCATAAGGTGTATATGAAACATAAATGAATTTTGTGTTTAGGCTTGGGTCTCCTCCCTAAATCATCTCATTATGTATATGCAAATATTCCAAAATCAAACAAAAAACCTGACATACAAAAATACTTCTGATTTTAAGCATTTTGGACAGGGGATACTAGACCAGTAAAATATTACAAAGACTCAGTATAAAAACCAGAATGGAAAATGGCACATTGATGATTTTTATATGGATTACATGTTCACATGACAATACAATATTTAGGATAGATTGTGTTAAATGCTTTTTGCTTTTTTGAATAAGGCTATTAGAAATGTTAAATCACAAGTGTGGCTTGCACTTGTGGCTACTGGATAGAGCCACAAGTATGTGTTTCTACTGGATAGAGCTGGTCTATACCTCATCAGGCATTTTCAGGTTCCTTCAAGTTCAAACCCAGTATGGAAGCCGTACCTCAACATCTGGATTGTTGGAGAAGAACTCTAGGCATGTCGTCTTCCCACTTGCAATATTGCCCTCGACACAGATCTGGCAAAAGACAAATGCTCATCAGAGCCAAAAACCAACCAGTTAGGGGAACATGAGGCAATGATGTCTAGGGAAGGGATCAGTCCAAGACGTCAGCCTCCAGACCAGACCCTCCTCTCTATCAACACCTCGACCATGTACAGTGTATCTGCCCAGTCTAGCTCTACCCTTCCCTAGTTCAGCTTCTCAGACTATTAGATTTTAGGCATAACTGCTTTGCCTTCTTAACCAGACCCTAATGAATAGCTTTGAGGTCAGGATACACAGGTATGCTTGCCTAGAATCTAATTCACTACACTGTACAGAGAAAAAGCTCTCTGTCACTGACTGGAAGATACAGTAGAACCTCCTAGTTGATCATCTCCCTCCACTGACCACCTCAAGTTGGCCTAATTTTCATAGACTGGGCATGCACCATATGTATGTATCAGTACAGCAGGCCTAGTTCCTTATGTTGACCACCTCCATATGTTGACTAGTTTGTCACAGTCCCTTGGGTGGTCATCTTACAGAGGTTCCACTATACTAAGCAGACTCCTGAGGCCCCTAAGTCTAGGCCAGTGTTTTTCAACCTTTTTTATCTCCCAA